ATTTCAGTTTCCACACAGAGTTCAACCCTCGTGGATGTTGGTTATTTCAACTATCTTTTCCATGCCTGGATAAGATAATTCCATTTGAGTTCTTTCCCTCAATGGAGTCTTGCTTGATAGTTTTTTTCTAGCTCGATCCTAGATTGAACTTTGGTCCCCGTCGGTCGCCGAACCTACCTGGACATGTATTTATTTTGCGCTATCTTTCAAGAAGAGCCTTCTTACAACGCCTTTGCAGATAAGTGGTAGTCTCTCCCGAGAAGCTTATCATGCTTTGCCCCGAGATAAGTGGCAGTCTCGCCTGAGAAGCTTATCATTGCTACACTTGCAGATAAGTGGCAATCTCATCCGAGAAGCTTATCATGTTTTATATTTTTTAGATAAGTGGCAGTCTCGCCTGGGAAGCTTATCATTGCTACCCTTGCAGATAAGTGGCAATCTCATTCCGAGAAGCTTATCATTATATTATTACTCCCTAATAAGCGACAGTCTCATTCCGAGAAGCTTATCACTACCTTTTACAGTACCAATAAGTGGCAGTCTCGCCTGAGAAGCTTATTTTCTTATTTTTCATTATACCAGCAACAAGTGGCCATCTCCCTCGAGAAGCTTGTTTTCATTGCACTTTTTCCATATAAGTGGCAGTCTCGCCAGAGAAGCTTATCAGTTTTATCCATATTCCCCAGATAAGTGGCAGTCTCCCATGAGAAGCTTATCATTGTTATTTTTTAGATAAGTGGCAATCTCTTTAGATTATCCATTTTTGAAGTCCCTTCCAGAGATAAGTGGCAGTCTCTCTCGAGAAGCTTATCAGAGCATTTCCCCATTGAAGTCCATTTATTTTGGCATACAACAGGTTTTTACCCTGTATATTTTCGGATGGTTCCTGAAGATCACGTTGATCTCTTCACTTAAGGAATTTCCAGAAGCTCGGATGTTATTTTCGCCCGAATGCTCCAGCATTTTTGTTTACCTGATTCTACCGCCGTGTGGATCCCGTTTACCCTTTTATTCTAGAGTGTTAGTCGGTCATGCCTGAACCTGTTGAGCAGTTACTCTTAGATATTTCCCCAGTGGAGGCCATCTCGTTGGTGCCATCTCCATTGAGGATCCCTTCTTACCTTTCTTTCTAAAGTGGCAACTGGTCGTGCTTGCACCTGTTGGTCCATCGCTTTAGATTTCCCCGGTTTCGTGATGTTTCCCCCAGTGCGTTGTCTTCCCCAGTGTGTGGTTGCTCATTGTGTCTGTCCCCTATATCTTCGTGTCGTCTGCATCCTTGCATTTATCATTTTCATCATATGCATCATATTAAATTCATAACGTTGTCAGTTTCCATTTTGTCCATAGCATTGCATATCACTACATCTAAGGGCAAAATTTTCGGTTATCTGTATTTAAATCCCTTTCACCATGATTTCTCGAGCTTTTGTTGCTCAAATCATGCGGTGAAGTTATTTAAATAGGGGCAACTGTCATACCCCAAATTTTAACCTTTCATTTTCTATTTTATTATTTTTTAAATTTTGATTAACTTAATAAATTAACCTTTTTTTTTAAATCTTTTCTTTTTTTTAACTAATAATAATTTAATAAAACTTTTTTTATAACTTTACTAATGTTTTTTTATTAATCTTTTTTTCTATTTAGTTTATTTACTTAAATCATTTTAATTTCTTTTTTACTAACTTTTAGGATTTAGATTAAAATTTAACTTTTTTTTTCATTTCTTCAAGAGTAAATTTTTTAAAAGTTAAAGTATAACCTTTTTTTAATTAATTTCTAACACTTTTATTTAAAATCAAATTCTAATACCTTTTTTTAAATTAAATTTCTAATTCCTTTTTCATTTAGAATTTCTAACTTTTTTATCTAAAAACTCTAACACTTTTTTAATGCAAAAATTCTAACTTTTTTATTTTAAAACACTTTCTTTGTTATTTCCAACACTCTTTTAATCAAAAATCTCAACACTTTTTTTAATCAAAACTTCTAGCCTCAGAGAAAATCTACATCATCGCCCTATCAGTAAAATCATCAAAATCGTCACCAAAAAAAACCTTCACAGATCCATCATCAAATCCACAGGATATCCAAAATCAAATACAATCACCATAAATCACAACAGGTCCGAAAATGAGATTAAGGAAAATCAAATCAATATCCAAAAACGAAAATCTTTTCAGATCAAATCCAATCCAAAAATCAAATCAAAATTGTTTTTAAAGAAAAATATATGAGTATAAGAATCAGATCCAAATCCATCAAAAACGTTTTGAAAAAGGATCAAATCAAATTTTTTCAGATAAAAAAAATCACATCTCCATGGGGTTTTAAGATTTAAAAGCAAGTATAAAAAGGGCCAAAAATCACAGTAAAAAGGGACGAAAAAACCCTAAACAAAATCATCAACATCAAAGGCATAAAAAAAATCACAAAAACCATCCATACGAAAACCCTCATCCGCGGAGCCGAAACCCACGGAGGCTCAGAGTAAAGGATTCACTCATCGCCAAAACCAAACAAAAGGCAGTACGAGTACCACAAGAAAAATCACAGCGAAAACCATCACACAGACCGTCAAACCCAGGCCCGACCCGTTTCCTCTTTTTATTTTTATTTATATTATTTGTTTTGTTATTTTAACTAAAATTATCCGTTTTTTTAATTCTAACTTAGAGCATCTTTAGTGGGAGTAAACTAAGATACTTTTTGTGGGCTCAAAGTGATTTGTAGAATTTAAAATATTTATAGTTGATTTGAGTTGTTTTTACTTTAATGATGGTTGCTTGTAAAAAACCAAAACTTGACCCCACATTTTATAGTTGTTGGAGCATTATTGATATTTTAATAATATAAAATAATAATAAAATAATAATCAGAGTCATCGAAATTTGATAGTGTGCGTTGGTTATATGGTTGTCGAAAACTAATTGTTAGTTCACTTAATGCCATGTCATTCTTATTCCAATGCAAATTGCTTATAACCACTGTTACTATTAAAAAATTTAATACTACAGAACCTGCACTAAAGATGCTCTTAAAACTAGCCATTTTTCTTAAAGTTGAATTTATTTATGTTTTAAAACTAATTATTGACCCTTTCTTTTGTAATAAACACTAACTTTTTTTATAATTAAAATTAACCTTTTTAAAAATAAAAAGATAACTCATTTTTAAAATTAAATCTTTTTTTTATAACTTTTTTAAAATTAAATCCTTTTTTAACTCTTTTTAAAATTAAATTTTTTTAAAACTTTTTTAAAATTAAATCTAACTTTTTAAAAATTAAATCTAACTTTTTAAAATTAAATCTAACTTTTTTAAAAATTATCATTTTTTAACTCTTTTGTAAATTAAATTTCTAACAACCTTTTATTTTAAAATTCTAACTTTTTTTATTATTTTAAAATTTTAACTTTTTTCTACCAAAGTTTCTAACATTTTTTAAAATTCTAACTTTTTTTATTTTAAAATTCTAACATTCTTTTAATTTAACCCTAATCTAAATTTTTTTTAATTAATGACATAAAATTCAAACTTTTTTTCTCAAAAATCTCACAAAACCATATCTCGAGTAATGATAATTTTTGTCTAATTTTCATCCTTCATTCCTAACATCATTATCGATTATCCATGAATCTGTTCCTAACCGTTTCTTTATATTTTTTTAAATAATTTTACTTGTACATTATCTGACATTAATATTGTTATTCACCACTCATTCCTATCACGTGTATTTTATTTCAACATCTTCATTGTGTATCAATTCTCACTGTGTATTATTTTACTGGTTTACCCTCCGAAGGAAAGGTTTAACTGTTTGACCGCCGCGTCAATATTCGTTTATCCTCATCCATCCTAACCTTAAGAGTTTGAGTCGTTGTACTCATACTTAGTCGTCCCGCCATGGACAATTTTATCCTTTATCCTAGCCTTAGGATCAGGAGTCGCCGTACTCCATGTAAGTTTCCGTCGTGGAATACTTACTTCACCCTTTCAATTCAACTTTACAACATAGAAATCGGAGTCGCCTCACTCCAAGTAAGCGTTTCCCTATGAACGTTTACATCCCCTTGGAACCTTGACCACAATCAAGAAGTTCCCCTTCCTCCCTCTGTGAGGGGAACTACAATTACTCTGATTCCATCCCCTACCTCGGATACGTAGGCATAAGATGCGAGTCTTTGTGAGTATACTTAGAACTAACGCTTTAGGTCCTTCTATTTACCTTAATCCTTAACATTAACCTTCTGCAGATATCTTTAGCAATAGCACATCAAAACAGGAGGTTCCTATAGAGTACTACAGAAGTTTAGGATGCTAATACCTTCCCTAAGCTTAATCGACCCCCGAACCCTAGATCTTTCCCCGCATTGTGTTTACGATGCAAAATATGTTTTACCTTTCTTTAACCTTTCCTTTGGATAAATCAAAGACCGGTTGTGAACTAAAGATGTGATTCAAATTAATTAATAATTTGATATCCTATTCTCACCGCAACACTATTCAACTGCATCCACCATTTTCCGGAGGACCGTCTAATACGTCACTTTTTGTGAGGTATCAGAACCACGTCGTTCATCATCTGTGGGACAATGAAGTAAGTCAATCTATGACATTTCAATGTTGAATAAAATCTAATTTTAATTATTTATGTATGATGACATATATTATGAATTATTTTCAGGGGTTACTGCACATGGCATCAAATTGATTGGATGGGTTTCGCATAGTCTCCCACCAACTATTGAGTCTTGGGTATCTACTTCTGGTATATCCTCTCTGCAGAGAACCAGTTTATCAAGGATAGATCAGAACTTGTTATATGCATTTGTTGAGAGGTGGCACCCCGAAACATCGTACTTCCATATGCCGTTTGGCAAGATGACTATTACGTTGGACAATGTTTCTTGCCTGCTGCATATACTATGTAGGAGGCCTTCTGTAACCCTGAAGAAGGGTTCGATGACCCGGATGTTATTACTCAGGTTATTCGTCTGATGGGTGTTCCCCTGGCCAAGGCAGCTGAAGAGGTCTGTGTTTGCAGAGGTCCCTATTATAGGTTGGACTGGTTGAAGAAGATACTTGTCAGTCTACGAGCTGAGAGCAGATATAATTTTGCAGCCAAAGCATATATGTTCTTGTTACTAGGATGCATTGTTCTTACCGATAAGACCTTTACTCTTATAGAGGAAAAATATTTACCACTATTTGAAGACTTGTCTAGCTGTGGTAGATACTGTTGGGGGGCAGTCGCGCTAGTCACACTTTACAGATATCTAAAAAATGCCTCCTTTTACAGTTGTAGACAACTTGGGGGATATGCCTCTCTACTACAAGTATAAATGTTTTATTTTAATTTCATTTAGACCTGTATTAGCATATTTATAATACTTTTAACTGATAATATTCATGTTGTGTAACAGTGTTGGATTCATGTGTATTTTCCAACTGTTGGCAAGAGGGGATTTTCGAAGATTGCTGGTATTGGTAGTCCACTTCCTATGGTGATGAAGTGGATGTACAAGCAAGGAACGCAAAAGGTTGATGAGTTAAGGGGTTGTGTTTGATGGATTCACACCTACGGATGTCATTTGGCGGCCTTTTCAGGATCACAGACAACATCAACCATTTGTTGATATTTGCTTGTACAGGGGCGGCCTGAAATGGTATGATACAACTGTTCTTTATTTACCTGGCAGATGTTTGCATCAGTTTGGATACAGGAAATACATACCATCTCCGCTCATGATCTTGACACACTTGATGTGGATTTCGAGTGGGTTACATGCCATACGAGCATCATGGAGGTGATTCGCCCGACCGAGTTTGCTGATACTCCATTTGATACAGTGGCCGATTACTTAGATTGGTACTACAAAGTGTCACATCCTTTGTTGGTACCACCACCTCGGGGGGCGTCCAGAGAGGTTAGAAAGGTCCTTGTTCCTGCGTTTGATGATGGACTGTCAGATCCGAGGTTGTTACATATTTCACATGAGCTTCGTCATTATCTGCATTTTCACGTGGCGGAAGAGGATGACAGTGATTTTAATGGGATCTTTCGAGCACTACGTATAGCTAAGGGTGGACTGGGAACTTATGTTAGTGATGACGATGATGCTTTATGTATTATTTTATATTCAGACTTATATCATATTAGTCAGTCTTATGTACATCTTTATTGTGATTTATATTGATGTAGTATTATTCAGTCTTATATTATGGTCGATGTTGTATACAAAACATAGTCAATACAAACTAAAAAATAACACGAATTCAATCGTCAACGCACAAAAAAAAAACATGAAGTCAATCGTCAATCCAAAATATAAAAAATAAAATTACAATCATAAAATAACATGTTTTGGGACCACATGTGTAAGTTGTTGCCAATGTTGTAACCGTCCAGTAAATCCTATTATCCAAGATGTTGCATCTGCTGTGAGATGCTTCTTCCAATCTATTGTGACCGGTGGCAAGGGAAATCTTTCATTCATATTTACCTGTTAAAATTTTTAATAAGTAAGACGTAAATCAGAGATAAGTATTTAATATAAAAAACTACAATATTTACCTGAACCCAATGATTTGTGTTTACAAAACCAATGCAGTAAATGGACACGTTAGGATTATATGAAGTTATCATAGGGAAGTAACTCAAACTAAGAGCGCTTAATGAGGCAAGAATGACGTTATAGAGATTTGTTATCACATAACCCATTTCTGATAGTGTCATCCATTTTTCTACTGGCTGGGAGCCTAAAGATGATATCAACAAGGATTCTCTCACTTTTGTTAAGCGACTTCCAAATAATTTCTCATAAAGACTATTTCGGGAACCTCTGATTTCATTATCCAAATCACGACGAACCATTAACCAACCATCTTCATCATATCCATGCAATGATGCAATAGCTCAAAACCCACAATTCTCATCATCCTTAACATCAACAATGTCATCAATAAATGGTCTGATATATTCTGGAAATTATTCAATGTACCTATAAGATGGTTTCTTCTTTGACGTTTGGGATAACTGTGAACATGGTCTCTTTGAAGATTTTTTAGAACTACTGTGTGCTTGATCAACATACTCATGATATGAAGGATCACGATAAACATCATATCCCACATGTTTCTTCCATTTTCTCTTCACTCCTCCTTTGGTCTTTATTTTTTCAGGCGGCGGTACCATCTTTGTGGTAGTGGGGTAAGCAATTTCACACACTCTACTTTTTAGTGCTCTCTTTCCTAATACGTCTAATGAACTGAACCTTTTCCATAATTCATCAATTGCATTGGTCATGTCCATCTCTGCTCCATCCTCTATATCTACCTCTTGTTCACCTTCCATGCTAAGCTTCCTCTAATGTATATGAATAGCATCAATTGGTATTGATTCACCACTCAATGTGTATCTTCCTAACTCACAAGTGCAAGGTAACCCGTATACTTTTCTATGACTACACCCACACATTTAGGTGTTTGTACCAACCATGTCAACCCTGCGCCACTCTTCAGCAATGTGTCTCAAAACTGCTCTAGATACTAATTCACACAAATTTGCATAATATGGACTAGCGTGCATGCTCAACTTCATAAAAACTCTTCTGAAATGAAGCTCTAATATTGCTCAATTTCACTTTTATGTTCCCATTCATAACCTCCCAACATTTGCACATATCACCTAAATTGTTCTCCATCATCTGCTTCAATTTCTAATGCGCAGAATCAACCCTAACAAAAAAAAGAGGTTCGGTATAATGAATATTAAGATAAACAAATTATGGCTAAAATCAAACACCTTACCTATTAGTTGTGATGTTACCCAAATGCAACACTTTATTGATCCAAGCTTCAATAAATCTATGTATGTAAGGCGTCAGCCATGTGTCTATCACTTAATTAAAAAAATGGTCTAAAATCCACACAGACACGCTCAAGTTGTTACAACTTTTGATGGTACTCCACCTCATCATTAGCCCTTACAAGTTCATGTCATATATTGTTTATCGACTCTCTCATATCATTTACAACAAACTCCTTGCACTTTGCTTTCACATTCTTGTTGATGTGAAATCGACAAAGCATATTAATTATCATTGGAAATACATTTTCAACTGCTTTCATCAAAGTAGGATCTCTATCCGTTAAAATCACTTGTGGCCATAACCCTTGCTTAGTGAACAACTATTTCAACTTATCTAATACCCAACAAAAAGTCTCTGTTTGTTCAGATTCCATATAGGCAAATGCAACAGCAAATGTTAACTCAGTTGATGTCATACCAACTACTTCAAACAAAGGTTGTCTGTACTTATTTGTTTTGTAAGTATTGTTCATAATCAACACAATAAGAAACATATTCAACAACTTCACTGATTTTGGATGCGTTCAAAATATCTCTCTCACAACTTTAAACTCATCCTTTTTACTACTCCAATAAACATAAACAGAATCCTCTATCAACTTAAACAATGATTGCATTTCGATTCTAGGACCCCCGATGTCTTTCTGAATCTTACTCTTATGTTTACATATTTGATTTATTCGAGTCACATTCTTCGGATCTCGTTCTTGCAATGACAACAATATGTGTCTTAGTGAAACATGATGTTTTGGAAAATCAACATTAAGTCGACTTACAAACGTATGACCTTCAAATCTATCAGGTAAACCATGGTTGTGAAGTCCATATTTTACGTTAATATTCTAACAAGAACCATCTTTAGAAGATGTTAACCTAACTTTGAATGGACAACCACATTTCTTGATAGCACTTTGTGTTTCACTATCTTCTTCTTTGTATTTCCACCTCTATCACAACTAAATACGACTTTGTCACTTCTTCCTATCTTGCTAATTTTGATGTCCGAACAAGTTATTATAACAGTAATTCTATTTCTGATTTCAACCTCCTTAATCCACCTAGTCGTCTCTTCTCGTGTAGCAAATTTTTCTGTAGTAGCGAATATCTCCGTCGTATCTACAAATGTCTGTTTTTTTTTTTGCATATCATTAAAGGAATATCCATATCTCCTAAAAGAAGTAACAAAAATAAAAAATAAAAAATAAAAAATAAAATAAAAACAAAAATTCAAAATCAAACCGGATAACTTGTAAACAAGTTATCCGGTTAAGTAAAAACAAGTTATCCGGTTAAGTAAAATTAACACATCGGATGTATAACAATCAAATTTTTTGGTTTGATAATAATACCAACCGGATTTCTTTACCTATAGTTATCTGGTACTCTTCATGTACTTTCAAATAGTAGTTTTTGACTCGTTTGACTGTGCAATAAAAAAAAATTAAAAGGTTAAAATTGAAATATTTGCAAAATTGCAAAAGAATGAATATAATTGTAGAGGTATGAGGTAAAATTTTCCAGACAATAATAAGTGATCCTCTCCTTTTTTTCCACAATTTTCTCTATAACTATAATTAATAAAAAAAATTGTGCATATGCACACTATTAATATGATGTGTATTTGTTTTTAAAATATATAAAAAAATATAGAATTATTTAATTAAAATAGTTTATTATTTTTAAAAGAAATAATAAATTTGTGTTTATAATTTTTTGATATATAAAAATATTTAAATATTTAATATATATTTTTTCGTATATAAATTATTTTTTTAAAATTATTTATAAAAATATTTGAATCAATAATAAAGTTATTTTAGTATATAAATTTAAAAGTAAAATTTTTTTTTGAAGGTTTAGTTGGATCTATTTTAAAAAATAATCGAACACTAAAATCAATTACACACTTTTAAAATTACTTTTGATTTTTTAAATTAAAAATTAAAGACACCCTTATCAAATTTTTAAAATATACATATTTTTTAATTAAAAATATCAATTATTTTATATATTATATAAATAAGTTTATATTGATCATTGAGAAATTGAACCCGTTAAAAATTTTATATATTATATAAATAAGTTTATATTGATCTAAGAGGAACTCGACCAGTTAAAATTTTAAACACTTATTATAAATACATGTGTTCCCCCCACCTTATAAGCACTTATTTTGGAATAGAGAAGATAATTTTAAAATACCATTTGTATAACTATGTGTAACTTAAAATTTTCATATTTTAAACAAATTGATAAATAATAAAAGACAAAAAAAAACAAGATTTACAAATCAAAAAATATAAGCATACATAAATATATAAATTTTAAAAAAGAATAATAGAATCTGAGTATAAATAATAATTGATTTTTTCGGTTGATCAGAATCTAAAGTGGGTCAGAGACTTCGTCTTCGATGCTAGAATTCAAGGAGGAGGAGGTGTACCTGCAAGGCACGATGGCAACGTAAGAATCGGGAGAGGAGAATGCATGTACAAAGTAAGAATGTCTTAGGGTGATTTTGGAATACCTGACCCTCTCAAAGGAGAGGGTATTTATAATGTCCCAAGCGCTTGACCATTGATCCCTATTTTCGGGCCTAAATATTCGCTCCCCAAAAATAGGTAATTGTTAGACTCTAGCCGTTGTGACTGGAAAACATGCTCGGAACTAGCCGTTGCTTCTAGCAGGGGCGCGGTT